AATATGAATATGAATATGAATAAGAATATGAATATGAATATAAATATGAATATAAATGTGAATATAAATATGAATATGAATATGAATATAAATATGAATATAAATGTGAATATAAATACAAATATAAAGATAAATATGAATATGAAGGTGAATATGAATATGAATAAGAATATGAATATGAATATGAATAAGAATATGAATATGAACATGGATATGAATATGCATATGAATATATACATATATTCGAATAATATTCCCTTTTTAGCACTAATTTGTGCAGGGTATATAAGAACCAAAACAAAAGCAGAGCACAGAAAAAACTCTGGGTAGCACTCCATAAAACGCTGCAAACAAATTACTTAGCCCCAAGAGGCCAACGCCAGGCCACAGCCAGGACTCAGCTAGGATTCAGCCAGGATTCAGTCAGCCCCACGGCCCCATTCAATGCGGCAATTAAATGATTTCTCGACGTTCGAGTCGAGATTGGGCGCATGTAAATATCAGCAGAGAGAATATCTGCGCAACTCATTTGACACGCTGCCAAGTGCCAAGCGTCCCACTTCGATTTGGGCGTTCGACACGCAAAGTGGGCGTGGCCCCCTTCCCCAAAATGAAATGAATCAGCTAAAGTCTTTGCTGCAATGCATCGGCCTAATTGCGTTAATTTTACTCGAAATGTTGCATTGTTTGTGCATGTGACTGCCACGCCCGCCCGATTGAAAGTGGGCGGTGGGGAGTGGCTTGCATGTTTGTGAGCACTTTTGTGACGCTGGCACTCCTGGGCAACGCCGGTGCATGTCGACGACATAATTGTTGGCCTAATATAAAGAAAATTATATACCAAGACGGCGCCTGGAATACCCTAACTCCAAGGGGACGCTTTATCCGGCCCGAGTTCATTGACACTATCGTAGTGCACAAGACTTGTTATCAATTTGTTGCTAGTGCTGCTGCCTTTTATAAATTTATAAATTATATATGCTATCATCAAATCGATAGATCCAATGCGCACGCCGGAGCATCGCCCGCTTCGGATTGACGCTTCAGCTGCACATCCATAATGTCTTCATCCTCCAGCTCCAACGAATTGGCCGTCTCACTGTCACTGATTTGCTCGCCGTCGATGGACAGCATGGCCAAATCCTTGGCCAGGCCCATCTGCGAGCAATACGCATCCTTCAGCTTGCCCAGCGGCATCACGCGGCGAATGCGAAAGAGGACAACGCCACGATCAGCCGATTGCATCTTCAGCGTTATGTGCGGACAGCGGATATGCAGCTCAGCATCGTCGGCCATCGTCATCGAGTCGTGTGTAGAAATTTTCGTAAAATTTGTTCGCTTCTGTATCTGTGTGCTTAGAGTTTGACAGAAATTTGGTTATCCCAAAATCCCCAACACGTGGCCTACTCCATCAATGTTTGCCAGTGTTTGAGGCCACATCAGCAGCAGCAGCGGAGAGCAGCGGAAACTAGGTAATAAATACGTTTGAATAAGTTCAATGATGATAAGATAGCGATAAGCAGGTACTCTCCAACTAGAACTGGACGACATATCTCTTCAAAGTTCTTAGAGTCAATGACAGTGTAAAATGTAAGCTACAGTGGATACATTTCAGGAAACTCAGAGTAGAATTAGCAATTGATATATGGAAGAGCATGAGATGAATGATGACGCATAAGTTACTATATTTTATTACTCTACTTATTATAACGATTTATTATAAAATAGGAAACCTATAAATATAAAAAATACATTATAATATATGTATATATACAAACTAAATACAATATAATAATGATACAAACAATATAAAAAATATATTATAATATATATAATATAAAAATATAAAAAATATAAAAATATAAAATAATGATATAAAAATAGAAAAAAATATATTATGATATATATAATATATTTTTTATATTTTACCTATCATTATTATATTTTATTTAGTTTGTATATATATATATATATATTATAATATATTTTTTATATTTATAGGTTTCCTATTTTATTAAATATGCCGAAAAAAATATTAAATTATTTTTAATATTATAGTCAAGTTATTTGCCGAAAATAATAATAAAATATTTATATATCAAAATATAATTATTTACTATTTTTTTTTTGTTTCAAAACTTTTTATTATAAATAAATATTTATATTTACTATATATAACTAAATATATAATTTTTTACAATTTTTTTACCTTTATTTATATTTATTAATTAACATCAATATATTTATAAAATAAAATATATGTATATTTATTTCAATATTAAAAAAGAAAATACTTTAGTGTTTTATTTGAAGAACTTGATTTTAATAAGGCAATAATAATTATTTCATTAGATGTAATGTATATCTGATATAATAAATACAAACGTTTGCTTTTCATATTAAGAACTTTGTATTTAAAAATACCATATATATGATATATTATATCATCATACATGTAGATATACACATTCCCTATTCCAACATCAATAAAATTACTTAATATTGCATCAATACGCTACCTCTATATATACTATGATGTCGTTCTGCCTCGTATACCCACAGAGAACATATTTTTCGATTCTCAACGCTCAATTGAAATTCTCAGTGCGCCCCACTGTACGCCGAGGCCCACTATCATATCATTTATTTATATATGTATAATACTTACTTCTCGTATATCAATAAATTTCGTAGGTGCGAATATATATAGTATAGCTTAGCGCTAGCTACGATGCCATAGCATGGGTCCGATAGTCAGTTGGTTTACGTCGGGCCGTGAGAGCAGTCGTGCATACTCGATGAGACTGTCGCCTAACTCGTTAAGATTTTCGTCATTAGCAGATAAAAAATAAAAAACAAAAAGAGAATATTGAAATTATGAAGTGCTTAGTTATATTTGGACTGATTGTGGCCATTTTTGCTAGCATTGCGGGCTATGGTTATCTGGTATTCACAGACCTGACACGTCCACTGCCCCGGCCAGCGTTCAAAGACGACACGTATTGGGGACCCGGAGATGGCAAGAACTATAAGCCGGATACGAAGATCTATGATTTTGTTGTGAATGTGCCGAAAGCGGAAATTCAGGATTTGAGACAGCAACTGAATCGCACGTTAAGACTAACGGAACCACTCGATGGCATTGCATTTGAGTATGGATTCAATACAAATGCTTTGGCTCAGTTTGTCGATTATTGGCGTGATAAATATCTAACCAAATGGAATCAGAGACAAGACTATCTCAACTCACTGAAGCAGTACAAAACTGAAATACAGGGGTAAGCATGTAGCTCTAATTTAGAAAGTGATATATTTATATATACATACATACATATAACAATATATATGTATGTCTAATTAATAACAACAAATCGATCAAATACGTAGAGCAAACAAATCAACACAACATGAGGAAAGCAGAAAAAGTTACTCCAATACATGCATATTATATGATCGTGAGTGTAAATGTGTGTGTGCACATAGTAGTCTAGTTTTTTTCTTTTTGAGAGCATAAATTACCCTCTCCAAGCTCAAATTTTGCATCTTATATGAGCGTAGCAAACATTAAAGCTTTTTTTACAGTATTTCGCTCTCAGAAGGATATAAAAAGCAACGAAAATACAAAAATTATACACACATACATTCTTATATTTACTTAGAGAAAGAGAGCAGTAAACGTAAGCAAATGAGTGGCATATTGAAAGAGAGCTCATCTCAATCGCTTCAAGTCTTCGGGCTATCAATAGCAGTTGCCAGCACTAAAGAGTAGTAGCAAATCAAATTTGAAGTGGGGTGGAATTTTTTTGAGCGCCTCTCTGCATTTGTATTCATGTGTGCATGGTCAAGCTCAACTTAGACTATTGATGTATATGTAACATGTGTTTGTTTATATATTGAAGAGAGAATTTCCCTTCGTTAAGTGTGCGATACTCACTCATAGTTTTCTCTTATCTACGCAGCTTAAATATTCACTTTATTCACGAACGCGTGTCTGAGGAGGTGGCTGAGAAGAAGCATGTCTATCCGCTGCTCTTGCTCCATGGCTGGCCTGGATCGGTGCGGGAATTTTATGATTTTATACCCATGCTGGTCAAGGATCAAAATATAAGTGATTATGCCTTTGATGTGGTAGCGCCTTCACTTGTTGGCTACGGCTGGTCGGATGTGAGTATAAGAGAAATAAAATTATACTCTCAATTAAAGCATATGCATTACTATATATCTCTTTTCCCATCTAGGCCGCCACCCGCGTGGGCTTCAATGCCGCTGAAATGGCCACAGTGATGCGTAATCTGATGCTGAGATTGGGCTACAATAAGTTCTTTGTTCAGGGCGGCGATTGGGGCAGCATTATCGGCAGCAATCTGGCCACGCTCTATCCGGAGAATGTGCTCGGCTATCATTCCAATATGTGTGTGATGAACACTCCACTATCCATTCTGAAGGGCATCTACACCCATTACTATCCCGAGAAGGTGCTTCGGTCACGCATGTTCTACGATCATCATGTGGGCGTTTGGGAGAAGTACCAGGATCTGTTGGTTGAAAGTGGATATTTCCATATACAGGCCACCAAGCCGGATACAATTGGAGCGGCGCTCGACTCCAGTCCCGTGGCTCTGGCGGCCTATATACTCGAAAAGTTTCAGACCTGCACGAGTCCGAGCTTAAAGCAGGACTTTGGTGCCATAGTCACGATCTTCGGCCTAGAGGCTGTACTCGATAATCTGATGATCTATTATCTGAATAGTGCGGCCACAACTGCTGCACGTTTCTATGCCGAGAATACATCGAAGACGTATCGCGATCTTCAGCTGGATCGTGTGCAAACCGATGTTCCCATGGGCTGTTGTCGCTTCAGATTCGATTTACCCTCTGCATCCGAGTGGCAGCTGAAGGATAAGTTCACCAATATAAAGCATAACATGTATTTCCAGCATGGCAGTCATTTTGCGGCCATGGAAATGCCATCCATGTTATTCAATGATTTTAATGAATTTGTCAAAAAAATTGGACTACATACTGAATAAAATTTATAAAAAAAATTGATAAACTACAGCAATGACTTTTGAAATTAAAAAATTCATAAATAATTAGAATATTTTAGCATTCATACATATCAAAAGTAATCGTCTTCATTTCAAATTGCGCGCGATTTGTAGGAGTTCAACATTGGCCACTTTTCAACACTGATACTGCTCTTTTTAATGTGTTTTTGTTGCTGTTGTTAGTTGTCGTTACTTTGTTTTGCTGATTCTCTTTGCTCAAATCTAAGATTATCAATTGTCGGGCTGCTTTGTCATGCTCGCACTGCATAACTGTTGTCGCCCTAAGGAGGAGAGAATGAGTTTATATACATAGACGCTAATCGAAAAATAATATTCATGAACCGAAGGGATTCCCCTGGAGAAAGTATCGAATATCACATTTAACTGTTACAAAATAAAGACAAACTTTAAGGGAGCTCGTAACTGTATTAATTAGTGTCTTAGTTAATTATGCATAATATACATAAATACATATATACATGTGTTTTTCGTGTCAGCTTCGGGTCACGATAAACACGACTGTCACTAGCTTGAATTGCTTTCAGATCTTTGCGTTTGTATACAAATGTAACCATGTGTGTGTAAGTATGAGGCAGAGAGAAACGCCGACCAAGAGAGCAACTACGTTGCTTGTAATAACAATAGAACACTTATAATTGCTCAGTATAGTGATCCATGTGAAAGCTTTTATATTTAAATTTACATACATATATTTTATTAATTATTCATATATTATTTATAATTTGTGATTTCTTACTTTAAATAAAAATTTTGAAGCTTGCTTGCAATACTTGTTCATCATGTTCATTATCATCATGTGCAGCGCTGTAAAGCCATTAAATGGCAATTTTTTGCTCATTCCTTTACGTCTCTCAATCGTGATATTTGTTTGTGCTTTCCTCTACTACGCATTTTTTGCAGCTGCAAGCAGACCGGTCTCCGCTTGTTTGTTTCTCAGCGCTTCGCCAGTGTCTTTTGCGAAGCGAAAGCGAACGGTTGTGTTTAGTTTAGCGGATCGGTTAGTCGCAGCCGGCTGTATTGGAAAAGAGAACAATTAAAATGCCATCTGCAGCGTCAACCACAGTGCGCATACTGATCGGTGGCCTAACGCTTCTTGTTGCTGTAGGCTACAAGAACTACCGCGACTTAGGTGCGCCCGGCAAGCGTCCCAATTTGGATAATAATGAGTATTGGGGACCACAGCTCAAGGGCGCATATCAAGAGAATAAAGCCATTAAGCCTTACGACATAAGTGTGGCCCCTGAGGTAGGTCAGAGATTACACTAAATATATACATACATACATATATGTATGTTATCTACATAATTATATGCATATATAATAATACTTAATTTGTCTTTTTACTAATATTCGCCATTTATTTAAATTTTGTTTTTTTTGTTTTTATTTTTGCACCTTTACAGCTTATTGCCGATTTGAAGACACAGCTGGAACGCCCGCTCAAAGTTCATGACCCGCTGGAAGGTATTGGTTTTGAATACGGTTTTAATTCCAATGAGTTGAAAAAGGTGGTGAAATATTGGCGTGACGACTATTTGCCTAACTGGAACAAGCGTGAGGAGTTCCTTAAGAAATTCCAGCATTTCCAGACCGAAATTCAAGGGTGAGCTGCATGCAAACACACACGCACACACACACACAGCCATGCATATGCATTCATACATATTTATATATAATTTTGTATGCCATTTTGGATTATGTTAATTTGTATTAATTTGTATATTTATAGTTTAAAGATTCATTTTATACATGCGAAACCAAGTAATGCGAAGGGCAAAAAGGTGGTGCCCTTGCTCCTGATGCACGGCTGGCCAGGAACTGTGCGTGAATTCTACGATTTCATTCCATTGCTGACCAAGGGCAGCGACAAGAGTGAATACGTGTTCGAGGTGATAGCGCCCAGTTTGCCGGGCTATGGCTGGTCGCAGGTAAACAGCAGAATAACTTCTATTTTAAATCTAAGCTTAGCTGAGTTCTCTTCAATTTTTAATTGCAGAGCGCTTCTCGACCAGGCATGGGCGCCGCCCAGGTGGCCGTGATCATGCGTAATCTTATGCTGCGTCTGGGCTTTGATAAGTTCCTCATTCAGGGCGGCGATTGGGGCAGCCTTATTGGCAGCAATCTGGCTAGCCTGTTCCCAGAGAACACGCTCGGCTACCACTCCAATATGTGTGGCAACAATAGTCCCATGGGCATTCTACGTTTGATGCTTTCTTCCATCATACCATCCTTTTATATTGACAGCCAATATGCGCAGTACTATGGGGGCATTGGCAAAGTCTTCGAAACGATTTTGGAGGAACTTGGCTATGCGCATATACAGGCCACCAAGCCGGACACCATTGGCGCCGCATTGACGCATAATCCCGTTGGCCTGGCTGCCTATATCCTGGAGAAATTCTCCACGTGGACCAATCCGGCGTATAAGAACTTGAAGGACGGCGGTCTAACCAAGCACTTCACGTACGATCAGCTGCTGGATAATATAATGATCTACTATGTGACCAACTCGATAACCACATCCGTACGTTTGTATTCCGAGTCGATGGGCAAGGCCCAATTAAGCCTGAATGTGGACAGTGTGCCCGTCAAGGCGCCAACTGCCTGTGCACGATTCGCTTATGAGATGTTCCATGTGCCCGACTCGGTGCTGGCCAATAAGTTCCCGAATCTGATACAGAGCACCCATTATCCGGACGGTGGACACTTCCCGGCATTCCAGGTGCCAGAGCAGCTCTACGCTGACTTTGTATCCTTTGTTCAAAAAGCTTTTAATCAATAATGTTGTACTTTTAAAATGCGGCACAGGGAATGAATAAAACTTTTTGTTGTTTATATTTTGTATAAAAAAAAACTATAGATTCTTTATTTATCAATGCTAAAGAGGTCTCAAATTGGATAGTTGAAATCCATATAAATATACACATGTGCCTACAGCATAACAATAAGTTCTCTATAAGCGCACACACACGCATACATGTAAACAAACACGTATATTTATTTTCAATACCTAAACAAAGTTTCGAATGACATAAAGGCAGGGCATATGCGACATATAAATGCGGTGTTTCATGTTATAGAAATATGATTTGCTGAGCTGGAGTAAAAATTTATTTTTGCATACAGTATAAATACTCTTATAATGCTCAAACGCATACTGGGTGAAGGACAGACAAAAAGCTCATAGTTACGTAACGCAAGGGCGCTGTGATGGAATGGAGTAAAGCTATTTTTAACACACAGCTTATACTAGTGGGCCGACAGAAAGCTCATAGCTATGAATCACTGAAGAAGGACAAGGACACGTGCATATATCGGTTGAGTTTGAGCAGTCACTATTTTAGTGTGTTAATTACGTATTCTTATACGCTTATACGTATACCAGATTGGGAGCAAGCAGAAAGCTCACAGTTACGTAAGACATTAGCGCAACATCAACTTAAAAATTGGCATAAAAGGGAAATTTAGAAATTAACTAAAATGGTTATGTTTACATGTTTATTTAAATGTTGTTTAAATATTAAATATTTATTTATATTTTATAACATGAACATTTACATAAACCGTATAATTAGAGACATTATTGGCAATTAATTTAATTAAACTTGTTCTCATTTAATAATTATTTGCGTCTTTTCACCCTCCCCTTGATTTATACTGTTGGTCATTAGTTTAAGCACCTGTTTTAGCCAATTTTAAATGCCCTTTACGCCTTGACCAGCGCACAGCTGTGTTGCCAATAACCCACACTAAATAACAGATTATCTAACATGCAAAGCATGCTTCGTCAAACAGCTCTCAAACCGGCTAGATGCGTGCGGCCTATGCGACACAGCGGAGACGCTACTCTGCGACGTTCGCTCGTCAAAAGCTCACCGAAAACCCATACGATCTGCCGAACGTAGCGTAACGTAAGCAAACGATTTTACTTATCATCGTGTGTGTGCGCAAAGTAAGACGATCACAACAAAAACGAGAATGAGAAATACAAATAAAATAAACACACGCGTAGAAGTGCAATCTCAACTAAAGTTCTATCAGTTAGTTTGACGGAAACCTTCGAGACGATCGGTAGAACTGGACAGTAAATATGTCGCCTGTAACGCGATTATTGGTGCTTCTGTTGGCCATTGGCGGCGGCATGGTCTATAAGCGTTTGAATCAATTGTGGGGCGATTTGCCACCGCCCACGCTCGACCCAGAGCAATGGTGGGGCGATGAGGAGCAGCCGAAAGACTATGCAGCCTATTTGAGCAACTCATCTGAAGTGATAGGCAATCGTCTAGTGTATCCAGATTCAGTGAGAGCAATTAAATTGATATATATATATATAAATATATACATTTATAAACTGGCTAAGCAATATGTTGCGCTCTCTCTCTTTCTCTCTCTCCTGTAGACTATTCAAGATTTGATTAAGCAATTGAATCGCACGCTACGTCTCACACCACCGCTTGAGGGCGTGGCCTTTGAGTATGGCTTCAATAGCGACTATTTGAAGGAATTGATCGCCTATTGGCGTGACGACTATTTGCCGCGTTGGCGCGCGCGTGAAGTTTTCCTGTGGCAGTTCAATCACTTCACCACCGAAATCCAAGGGTTTGTATGATAAGCGCTTATCAGCCAGTGTGTGTCCATTGATAACCGTTTCGTTTAGTCTACGCATGCATTTTCTCCACCTGATGGTCTACGACGAGAACAAGGTGGGCAAACATCATTATCCGGTGCTGCTGCTGCACGGCTGGCCGGGATCGGTGCGCGAGTTCTATGATCTGATACACATGCTCCATCAGACCCATTTGGATCCGAATAACAAATATATATTCAATGTAATTGTGCCCAGTTTGCCGGGCTACGCTTGGTCCCAGGTAAGACTATATGGCTACAGGAATTTGGCTCTTGGATTCACACCTGTCTATATTCCCCTGTGCAGGGTACTTCGCGTCCAGGCCTGGGTCCCGCCCAGATGGCTGTGATGCTGCGCAATTTGATGTTGCGTTTGGGCTACGACAAGTTCTTTATACAAGGCGGCGATTGGGGCTCCGTTTTGGGCTCTAACATAGCGACGCTCTATCCACAAAATGTGCTTGGCTATCATTCGAACATGTGCAATAATCTGTCGCCCAGATCGCATGTGAAGGGTCTGCTGGCCAGCGTCTGGCCGAGCTTGTTTGTGCCAAGCGCCTTCACGGATTTCTTCTTTCCCAAGTCCAAGGAATTTGGTTATTTATTAGAGGAGGGCGGCTATTTCCATTTACAGGCCACAAAGCCGGATACGGTGGGTGCTGCGCTGACAGACAATCCCGTTGGCCTGGCTGCCTACATTCTCGAAAAGTTCTCCACGTGGACAAACGCCAGCTATCGCTCCCTGCCCGACGGTGGCCTTACGAAGCGCTACACACTGGACGCCTTGTTCGATAATGTGATGATCTACTATCTGACCAACTCCATTACGACGTCACAGCGTCTCTATGCAGAGGCGTACACCAAGGAGCAGCAAGCGCTGCAGCTGGACCGTGTGCCAACGCTTGTGCCCACGGGATGTGCTCGTTTCAAGGGCGATATAATGCAGTTCCTGGATCTGCAATTGAAGGACAAGTATAAGAATTTAATACACAGCACGTACTATAGGCGAGGCGGTCACTTTGCGGCTCTGGAGCTGCCCAAAGTGCTCTACAAGGATTTCATTGACTTTGTTAAGAAAGTTGAAAGCAAATTTAAAATAGAGTCATTGTAAGTTACTAATAAAGTTTGAATAGCAAAATACCTAACAAACTCTATCGCATATCGGAGCTAAGCAAGACCAGTGACAAGACTTGTGATCCTGCAGCTTCAGCTAATGATAAATATTTTGTTTACATAGTTGCAGTTGATTACGTAGAATTTGAATTTCACCAATTTGCCAATTGAATGAAATATCGATGCTAAGCGATATGTTGAATCGATATCTTGCTTGACCAACAACTGATATTTGATCCTGCTGCCGCTTAAGCCAGCGCTGCCACTCCGTTCAAAGCTCAAATCAAAACGAAAAGGAGGATCAGTAACAAAGCAAGCATAGAAGAATTCATTGTGATACATTTTTTTTAACATTACAAACTAGATATTTATATATTTTGTTTTAAATCAGAATTGAATAGGTAGGCGATGAACTAATCTCATAGTAGTAGTAAAACACAATAATACATAAATAAACATAGTCATACATATGTATTTTTATACGAAGTTATCTCTAGAAGAGAGACGCACGCACATTTAATTATTAATTCCAGAAAGTCACTTAAGAAATCACAGCTGCAGGAGTATTACAGCTAATATAGTTTACCACACACAAAAGCAGACCCTCATACACTATTATATATAGAGATAAATATTAAATTACGTCAGATTGAAGGATGAGCGATTTAAAGCAAACCGTGTGCTTAACCAGTTCAAACGCTGAGAATATGTCGCGCCACCAGATGCTCGACTGGGTGAACACCATGGTGAATGGACACTTTAAGAAGATCGAAGAGATGGCATCAGGTAAGGAATTAGAGACTTAGATCTATAATAGCTAAAGTCAAATGTAATTGTAGGTGTCGCCTATTGTCAAATGATGGACATGATCTTTCCGAATTGCATCAATTTGAAGCGCGTCAAAATGTCCGCTAAGCTAGAGCACGAGTTCTTTCACAATATGAAGCTATTCCAGGGCGCCCTTACACGCCTCAAGCTTGACAAGACCGTGCCGTTGGATCGCTTGATCAAGGGACGTTTCCAAGACAATTTCGAATTCTTGCAATGGTTCAAGAAGTTCTTCGACTCCCAAGCTCCTGGCCTAGAGAATATTAAATCGGCCGCCAATGCAGTCCAGCCAAAGCCCATCAAACCGCGCGGCTTCATCAAAGAGAACCAGGAGCAACAACAGCGGCAGCTGGAGCAGGAACAACAAGAACAAGAGCAGCAGGAATCAGAGGATTTCCTTGCCACCATCTCAGAGTTGAATGCGAAGATTGCCACCACCATAAAGGCACGTGATGAGGTATACGAGAAGCTTCGCAAGGTGGAGATTCTACTAACCGACATGATCAATAAGAACGAGCATGTGGAATTTTGCAATCGGGTTTGCGAGGTGCTCTACAAGACCGATCAGAATGATGATGTGGGCACTCCCGCTGGCGAGGAGAGCATGGACAGTGCCATTGATGATCAGAACGAGGGAATGTATTAAACAACTATTATTTAGGCAATCAAACGTTATATAATTTTTCGGATTAAAACAATTCAATATCTCGTGTGCGGCATACATAATGCAGCGTTTATTAGTCATTTGAATCGGAGCTGTTGCCATTGGAACTGGCATAACCGCAGACCAGGCTGAGTGCGCTAGGAGCTGGCGCTGAGGATTGAGTGGATGCGCCACTTTCTCCTTTGTCGCCTGCTCCAGTTGGTAAACTAGTTGTACCCGCTTTTGAACTGGCTGTTCCATTGGCTGAAGTAGCCCATATACCATCTGTTTTTTCCTCTCCAGTTCGTGTTGTGCCAGATGAACTAGTTGTTTCATTTCTACCAGTTTCTGTTTCTCGCTCTTCCGTTTCCATTGTTGCAGTCGCTGGCTCACTGCCCGCCTCTGCATCGCTTGCTTCTTTCGTGCCTGCTTTTCCAGATGATTCTGCTTCTCCACCTACTGTCTCCGTCAACTTTATCGTCTTCTCCTTTCGCTTGATGCCCAAATCCTGCAGCTGCAGGTGTGTGCTCAACGCCTTTTGCCGCTTCAAGCCACCGAAGGTTGTGCTCGTCGTGCCTGGCAACGCCGGTCTCATCAGCAATTCCAGACGCTGCTCTGACTCACGCTCTATAGCGCTGCGCGTCTGCAATTTCATCAGAGCAGCCATATCACGATCTTGTTGCGTCTCTGGCAGCAGAGCTATGTCCAGGCTGCTCTTAGCCAGAAGCTGTCGATCGATTTCCTGCTGTCCTTTCAGCTCCTTCTTCTGCTCCCGAAATGCGGCACGCAGCTTGTAGTTGGCCACATAGTTGTCATCCCAAACGCTTTGGTTGCGTTCCACAATCTTCTGGAGCATTGGCTTTGCATTCACAGCCGCCTGGGCATCCTTGGCCTGATGCTCCAGCTTGTACATGGCATCATCGAAGAGCCGCTTCTGCACCTCTTTGGTTTCGGGCACCACCTGTTCGTTCTGCAATGGGTCCCAGCGATTTTCCTGCCGTCTTGCGCCCGATAGTATCACATAATCCAGATTTCCAGGATCCGTTTGGATCTCGAAGTGATTGTCGCACAAATGGCATTTCATGCGAAATTTATAGATGGGTGTTGTGTAGTACATGCCCACCTTCGTCTTCTCTGCATTGTAGCGCACGCCCATCCCAATGTGATTCTTGCAGCCATCGCACCAGATATTGTAGGGCATCTCAAAGCGGATGATGATGATGCCCAGGTGGATTTTGCGTGCACGCTCCCGTAGCGCATGTGTGCCGCGAAATTTGTTGAGTCCGCCCTTTTTTGGATCATAGTCAGGCGGATAGTATTTATTTTGTCCCTTGCGCTCACCCATTTTGACTTGAAATTAAAAAACTCTAGAGAAGCAAGACACAAACTGTTTACATGCGTCTCAGCACACTGGCGCCATCTGTTGAGCACAGCTGTTCTGGGATCAAATTCGTTCAGTTTATGTCGACAAACGATAGTTATCGCTCGCTACTCATACCTAATTCACATACATATATATTTATATATTTATATAGAATTAGCAATACGCGTGGTGCTCTTGAGGATTTTTAACCCGTTTTTGCCACGTGAAATTGTAGAAAATAACTGTTGAACGCTGCAAAATGATACTCTTCACAAACGAAGGCAATCCGATCGGCCTGCAGCTGTTGGTACTCGCAAAATATCTCAAGAGGCCGATATTTCTGCAGCAGATTACTTTAACTGGTGAGAAAAAAAAATAAGAAACCTGCTTGCCGGCAACGTGCAACGCTCGAATAACGGTTAACTGATGCAATGCTGTCTGCAACTTACAGATGCTAAATTCAAGGATCTGATACTACTGCCCACAGTGGAGTTGGACAACGGGTTGCGTTTATTCTCCACCGCTGCCATATATAAATACTTGCTTATGTATGAGGGTTATCCAAGGAACGAGGTGAGGCTACAAGGTTAATTGCATTGAAGCTAAATTGAGTTACATTTATAAATTTATTTAGTGGCTGGAATGGGGCGCAACGCTGCTGACGCCAGCTTTGGAACACTACATGGCTACGGGCCATCGCGCCGACTCGAGAGCTGGGCCCGTGCTCAATGCTTTGGTGAAGAAGCTCGACGATACCCTCAGTGTTTCTCCGTTTATTGCCGGCGACAAGCTTACCTCTGCGGATCTATTTATTTGGTCTCTGCTTGCCCCGGACGGCACACTAAAAGGTGCCCAGAATGTAGAGCATCTGCACAGCTGGTATAACAAAATCAAAGCTCTGCCCGAGGTGCAGGAGGCGCTAAAGGAGCTGCCCATCAGCAGCCTGAGCTTCAATGCGCTGCAGCAAGGGAATCGTTATGGTGGCCTAGCGCATGTCCAGCTACGGCGTGGCATCTCTCAGGATACTGACAAAGTTCTGGCTGATTCTGCTCCCACTGTGGCCGACACCGTTTCCGATGAGGAAATCAATGCAGCACGCGAAGCCTTCATATACACCGAACCCAAGGAACTGGTTGAGCCACGCACCGTGCTGCCCAAGCCAGGCGAACGCAATGTGCTCATCACCTCAGCTCTGCCCTATGTCAACAATGTGCCCCATCTGGGCAACATAATTGGCTGTGTGCTCTCGGCCGATATATTTGCCCGTTACTCGCGTGCCGCTGGCTACAATACGCTGCTCATCTGCGGCACGGATGAGTACGGCACGGCAACGGAGAACAAGGCGCTGGCCGAGAATATGACACCGCGCGAGATATGCGACAAGTACTTCGAGCTGCACAACTCCATATACCGCTGGTTCGGCATTGGCTTCGATTACTTTGGACGCACCACGACCCCGGAGCAAACTGAGTTAGTTGCAATTTATTTGATCAAATGAAGAATTCTGTATTTATGCTTCCCACATTTGCTTCCAGAATTGTCCAAGAGGCTTTCAAGGATGTCTACGATGCGGGCTACATACTCACAGAGAGCGTGGAGCAGCTGCTGTGCCAGAAATGCGATCGTTTTCTAGCGGATCGGTAGATAGCATCCACATATATAGATATTTCAAATCTGTTCATAATCTACTTTAACCTCCTTTTAGCTTCGTGGAGGGTACCTGCCCACATCCGGGCTGCGGCTATGAGGATGCACGCGGCGATCAGTGTGACAAGTGCGGCAAGCTGGTCAATGCCACCGAGCTGGTGCGTCCACGTTGCAAGGTTTGCAACACTGCGCCCGTGCTGCGTTCCTCCGACCAGCTGTTCCTCGATTTGCCAAAAGCCGAGCCAAAGCTGCGTGAGTGGGTGGATCGTGCGGAACAGGGCTGGACACACAATGCACGCGTCATCACGCGCGCCTGGCTGCGCGAGGGCCTGAAGCCGCGCTGCATCACGCGCGACCTCAAATGGGGCATACCCGTGCCGCACAAGAACTTCGAGCAGAAGGTCTTCTACGTGTGGTTCGATGCGCCATTTGGTTATGTTTCGATTACCAAGCGCTACACCAAGGACTATCTGCAGTGGTGGCAACCGGCACCGGGCACCGATGTCGAGCTCTTCCAGTTCATGGCCAAGGACAATGTGCCATTCCATTCGGTGGTGTGGCCCTCTGTGCTGCTGGCCATCAACAAGGGCAACACCTTGGTTAGCCACATCATGGCCACGGAATATCTGAACTACGAGGATGGCAAATTTAGCAAGAGTCGCGGCATTGGTGTCTTTGGCAACGATGCCCAGGAGACGGGCATACCCGCCGACGTCTGGCGTTTCTATCTGGCCTCCGCCCGTCCCGAGGGCCAGGACTCTAGCTTCAGCTGGACTGATTTGGCCGCACGCAACAATTCCGAGCTGCTCAACAACTTGGGAAACTTTGTGAATCGAGCTTTGTCCTTCTGCGAACGGAATTTCGACAGCAAATTGCCACAGATGGATCTGAACCACAATGACTACCTGCTGTTGGCTCTAATCAATCGGGAGCTGCGCGGCTATATCAACTCGCTGGAGAAGGCGAAGATGCGCGATGGCATTCGCCATCTGTTGTCTATTTCCCGTCATGGCAACGGCTACATACAGTACCAGCAGCCGTGGGCGCTGCTCAAGGGCAGCGATGATCAGAAGTCGCGCGCCGGAACTATCATTGGCTTGAGCATTAATATAGTCTGTCTGTTGGCCAACTTGCTGTTCCCCTTTATGCCAACGACAGCGCGCGCCGTGTTCGCCCAGCTGAATGCCAAGCAAACGCCACTAGATGCTAAGTAAGTAGCTGTGACTAGCTGCTGTTATATACTAAAATTGTAATTCAAATTTCCAGCAAACCTTTCGCTACGCTGCTCTTGCGTCCTGGCCATAAGATAGGCACGCCCTCGCCGCTCTTCGACAAATTGGACGTCTCCTTCATCGAGGGCCTCAAGGCGAGATTTGGTGGCTCGCAGGCGGACAAGGAAGCAGTAGCGGCAGCAGCTCAGCCACAGTCAAGCACAGTGGAGCTGGAGGCAGCCGTCAAGGCGCAGGGCGAAAAGGTGCGCCAGCTCAAGGCGAGCACAAAAGACAAAGCCGTGTGGCAGCCGGAGGTGAACAAGTTGCTGGAGCTAAAGAAGCAATTGGAGGCGGCACAGAAGGCAGGAGCAGGAGTAACAGCAGCTGCAGGAGGATCGCCAGCTCCTGCTGGCCAATCTGTACAAGCACTGGAGCAAGCAGTGCAGGCTCAGGGCGACAAGGTGCGCCAGCTTAAAGCTAGCACGAAAGACAAAGCCGTATGGCAGCCGGAGGTGAACAAGCTCCTGGAGCTGAAGAAGCAATTGGAGGCGGCAAAGAAGGAAGCTCCAGCATCGCAAGGAGCAGCAGCTCCAGTCCCATCTCCATCTCCTCAATCCGTACAATCCCTGGAGCAGGCCGTGCAGGCCCAGGGCGACAAGGTGCGCCAGCTCAAGTCAACAACCAAGGACAAGGCCGTTTGGCAACCGGAAGTCAACAAGCTGCTCGATCTTAAGAAACAATTAGAGGCAGCCAAAACAGCTTCAGGAGCAGCATCCGCACCGACAGCAAAAGGAATCGATGCAGCCGCAGTTAAAGCGCTGCAAGAGAAGATCGCGCAGCAGGGCGAAAAGGTGCGCACTCTGAAAGCCTCTGGAGATGCCTCCGTGTGGAAGCCCGAAGTGGAAATACTGTTAAATCTGAAGAAGGAGCTGGCGGCGCTTGATGGCTCAGCCGCAGCTGCGCCCCAAACTAAGAACAAGAAGAAGAAGTAAAACTGCTACAAATGTAAACAACTCATGGATTAATCTAATCATAAAAAATTATTACTTGCATTTCAAAACCAAATTATTATTTTTTGAAAGTATTTCCGAAAAATTTTCTCTTAGTAATTTATTCAGTTTGTGAAACTACAAATATATATTGACTTTGGAACGATTAAAAATGTCTTGAAGCTCGTAATTATTAAAGATTTTTGGATTAATCGAAACCAATTAATTTATAATACTAGTCAACATTGATATGATTGGCTTTGAATTCATTTGTATTGCGATTTAATTAATAGCATATTTAGTTAAACTACACACAGATGTTTGTTCAGTTCAGAATTAAACAAAATTTAATTAAACCAAAATTAGTCAAAAACAGACTTTGAAAATAAATTTGCTTGGAGGTCATGCCAAGCACAGTTACTCATAAAGAAAACAAGTAAATTTCAAATGGCATTTTCAGTTTGAAAAATTCGCTCAACCAACAAAAAGAAAGAAAAGGTTACGAAGTGGTTACAATGAAAGCAAGCAAATCCTTTTTCTGGCATATATTCGCAACAATCAAATATCGAAAGAGAGAAAATCGTAAGTGTCATGCCAGCACAATATAGCATTTTTGATATATCTATCGATACATCGATATTTGCAACAATGTATTAGAAAATGTAAGACCACGACCAGCGCAGTCAGCTAGTTATTGTGATTTTGTGATGAACTTTTTTGCAATGTAAATCAATAAATAATTCTAATGAACATATGCAAATAACAAAGAGCGACGCAAAATGTCGCTGTGCAAGCGTTATACAAGTTAACTAACAGGATATAAACAAAAGTTACAAACGTGCGTCGCCGTCGCCGTCGTCGTTGTCTGTCAGCAAAAAAATTCGTCATCAGCTGGTCGCAAGTCCCGAGTCTTCGTCACAGTAATTGCATTCGTAGTTAATTGTTTGACGTGCGCGAGAGCGCACAACAGCGACTGCGGCAGAAGCAGAAGCAGCCGCAGCAAAAGAAATAAGGCAAAACGAAAGAAAAATAATAAACTGTGCTCTGCCACAACATCAGCAGAAGGGGGTTAATAAGGTGAAATGTGAAACAAATACATTTGTGCTAATTTATGTATACAAAGCGTAAAGCAATAACAAATTCAATTTGCTGCCGAATACAGATGTGCGAACAAAGAATCCATATACACACACACATACATTTTTTTCGCTAGTGATTTCAACATTTTTGTCCATTGTGTTGGCAGCAGCTGCAGCTGACGCAGATTTTTGTAGACGCGAGTGCGCTGGATGCCACACTTATTAAATATGTGCGTGTGTGTGTGTATGTATATGTATTTACCGTTTAAACAAACGGTCAGCGTCTACCAAAAAGACTCAAGGACGTAGCGGCAACAAGTGTTTGTTAATTGTTATTGATTTTTGTTGGTTTTGCTTATTGTTGTTTTCAATCGGAGTGTTTCTCGCACTCTCTCTCTCCCTCTCTCTCTTTTACATTTTCTTTCTTGTTTGGCTTTTGCTAGCTGAAGCTATCGATTCGGTTGAAATCATCGCCATGGAGTCGGCGGACACGCTCTTGGAGGAGCAGAAGCTCATGGCCGAGGCGAAATATCGCCAATATATGAGCAACATTGATAAAGCGCTGCGCAATTTTGAATATTCCAGTGAGTGGGCGGATCTCATAGCGGCACTGGGCAAACTAAGCAAGGTACGCTGACCCATATTATTATTAAATAGTAGATTTACTACTCGAGCCACGCGCCGCGTTTAAATTCGCTGCCAGCTGTCATAGTTATAAAAGAATATCTATATATATCTTTATTTACATATATGTATGTATATATGTATTTGTAGAACAACCTTTTTGTCCATAACTCTGATTCATGCCTTTACTTTTTGCTTGAAATTATCGTCGTCGACTGTTCGAGCGACTCGTAACTCTTATCGCAATTGTTTTTCTCATGCTTTTATAATTCAGGGTTTTTTCATACTTCAGAAAAAGAGTGTTTCATGTAGTTCAGGGAATATTACATATGTATGTATGAAAAAGCTTTCATCTTATTGAGCAAATTTTCTTAATGATATTTAAAGCTATAGTTTTGTTCAATTATTAAAAACTTTATTTATTCGGAATCAATGTTTATTTATTTAGAGATGAATGAAACTAGAAATGGAAAATGTTTGCTATAGTTAGAGAATCAAATATGTATATATAATAATTGCAAACTATTGGCTAAGCATTATTTATATATCTAATAAATATATTATAAATTTAAATATACATTGAAAAAGCTCTGCACTATATAGTTTACAAATTCTAAAAATATATTATTCTTTAGATATGCATTAGTCCTAACCTGAATGAACTGCATTTCGCCAGATATGCTCGCATATTAATGCAATTTAATATAAATCACTAAATTTATTCGAATTATTCTGAAACTTGTTTTTCGTTGTCCGACGATAGGCCATATCAAGCAATGCGCAGTACCAGATCATACCGCGACGCTTGAAGATAGCCAAGCGACTGGCACAATGCATGCATCCCGCTCTGCCCTCCGGTGTGCACTTGAAGGCCCTGGAAACATACTCTGTGATATTCAGCAAGACGGGACCCGAACGTCTGGCCACAGAGTTTATATATGGGTAAGCTGCGTCTCACTCAACCAACTTCTCTTTGTGCTCACATTCGTTATCTTCGACCCTTCCACAGTGCTGGACTCTTTCCACTGCTTGGCTATGCGGCCATGAATGTGCGGCCGGCGCTGCTGACCATCTACGAGACATACTTTGTGCCGCTGGGCGATAAGTTGCGTCCGGCGCTGAGTGGATTTCTGAGCGGTGTGCTGCCCGGCTACGACTGTGGCTTGGATCACTTTGAGCGCATCAGTGCGCTGCTCAAAAATGTTTGCGTTGCCGTCAATCCAATGCACTTTTATACCGTGCTGTGGGAATCGGTGGCCAATAATGCTTCGATTCGTTTGCCAGCCATTACGTTTCTGCTGGAGCACTTTAACAAGCGGCTGGATATGGAGAAGCAAACGTATATAATGGGTCACAATCGCGAGATTATGATGTCGGCGCTGTGCGCCTGTCTCAATGATTCGCTGATATTGGTGCAGCGTAATACGCTCGAGTTCCTGCTGCTGGGCTTCCCGATGCACACCAAGCTGCTGGATGAGGAGCAGCTCGTGCTGCTGGTCACAAATGGCTTGAATACAATATTACGCCGTGATATGTCTCTAAACCGGCGCCTCTTCTCATGGCTGCTGGCCAGCGAGATAACCAAAAACTCACCCACATATGATACACTGTCGCTGGACTCGGCGGCGCCGGCCGATGGCCAGAAGGAGGAACCATATTTTATTACACATTCGCGGCATATACTCATTAGCGCGCTGGTGAATACGCTGCGGCTGAGCCTGGAGTGCCAGCCGATGGATCTGAAGCCGTATCGCATTATGCTCTCGCTGTTGGACAAGGCGGAGATCGGCAGCGCCGTGCTGGACTTTGTGCTGCACGATATAATACGAGCGATGTACATTTCTAGCAGCAATGCGGACGCGCTCAAGTCGGCCAATCTGCTCTTTGCTACATTCGATCCGGCGTATATATGGAGCTATATGACCAACATGTTTGAGCGCGCCTGCCAACAGGCGCCCAGCTCTGCCCAGTCCAATAGCGATGGCAAATTCGCCAGCACCGTTGGCTCCGGCGACCCGTGTGTGCTTGAAACGTGCATGCTAACTGAATTCCTGCTGGAGACCATCTCACTGGAGATGTATACGGAAACCACACGCGTCTATCTGCCCAAAGTATTTCTATCGATCATCCAGCTGCTCTCCCTGCACATGGATCGCCTGAGCAGTGACGAGGTGACCGCCTCCCTGAAGCTATGCATGAAGATTGTCTCACGAGTGCAGCCAATGATAACGTGAGTAAATGAGGACACTCTCTGAATCAATATATAATATTAGCCCTGCCCTTGCAGTAGCCCCATAAAGCTGAACAAACTGATGGAGCAGAACAGCCACTCAGAGTCGGAGGAGAAGACTGTGAATGCGAATAGCAGCAGCAACAATACTCTGGAGTCTGCAATGCAAGCGAATGCCTTGGAGAAGAGTAAATCCGATTCGCGCTTGAATCAGTTTGGCGAGCACTCACAAAACGCCGAGCCCAACGACGAGGAGCTCATCAGGCGCTCAGCGTCCAATCAGAGCGTCGTGCGACACAGTCCCAAAAAGAAAGCCAAATCCTTCTCACGACTCTCCGAACTGGATAAGGATGTAAGTCTACCCAGAGGTGGCCTATATATAAATTGCAGCTATTAGATATTCGATTCCCACTTGCAGATCAGCAACTCGGACACGGGACAGCAGTCCTCCTCGGATCTGGATACGCCGCGCAGCATTAAGAAGATCAAGGTCAAGGCCAAGGCCAAGGTGCCCTTCATACGCAGCAGCCCGAAGAAAACGCGACCCAGCAACATTGTCATTGCACCCAGCACTGCGACGCCGGCTGATGCCACCGACGAGGCTGGCGTGGAGCCACCCAAGAGTGCACCACCCCAGAATTGCCCGGAGTTTCAGCTGGACGATGAGCAGTCGAAGGCAACGCAACAGCGTGGCTTTTCCATACTGGAGAAGTGCATACGACAATATGAGATCTTCTTTGAGGTCTATTTGTCGCGTCAGCTGCTGCAAATCGAGACGAGCTCTGGCAGCACGGAGCTCAACGATGGCGGCAGCAACAGATGCGCCATCAAGGTGCAGCTGCAGCGCAGCTCTAGTCACAGCTCCAGTCACAGCTCGACCCTGTTCATGGTCGAACAGGTGCTGGAGTATCACTGCCCGGCGCGTGAGTCACAAATCGAACGACTCTTTGGACTGCTGCGTGTGGATTTGCTGCCACGTGCGAAGCAGCTGCAACGTTTACTGAATCTCTCACTGCCCACAACGACGGCCAGTGAGCTGAGCAGCGACAGCGATGCAGCCGAGGAGCCACAGCAGAAGCATCCAATCGACGCACAGACCCAACGCAACGTCCAACAGCTGGCCGAGCTGCAGTTGCCCGCTGCATTGCGCAATGCCGTCAAATTGGCGTCCACGCTGCTCGTGGAGATGTCCACGTTTCCCAACTGCAATAAGCACATTGTGATGGACAAGAATGGTAGAGTAGAGTGGAGTAGAGAGAGAGAGAGAGTGCGAGAGAGAGTATATATAAAACTGTGATTAATCTATGGCCTTTTCCTTGCAGAACCCGAGCTGCCCAATTGGCTGAAGGTGCTCTGCCTGGTGGCCTGCTTTGCGCAGAATGACAAGGAGCTGCAGGTGGCTGCCATAACGACGCTCTTCGATTTGATTAGGTAAGTATTGGAACTTTCAACATACGTGATAGCGCCTCCCGTTAACACACTTCTCCAATTCGCAGTCTCCTGCGCTCGCAGATCGAGCATACGACGAGTCCAGGTGTGACATTTGTTGTCATGTTGCCGCTGCTGAAATTTGGCCACGTTAGCCATATGGAGCAGCATACGCGCGTCTTTCAGCTGGTCACCTCCATATTGTGGGACTATTTGGGCACACCGGGCATCGATCCTGCGCAGATTGCGGCGCTGCTGTATCAGCTGCACAGCTGCCTGGAATCGGGTTTGGTTGAGACTGTGATTGGCAATCGCATGCATGCACAGCATTTGCTGCAGAGCCCGGCTCAGACGGGACTCGGCACGGGCAGCGCCCTGCGTAACTTCCAACTGGAGCGAGTGACAGACGCCCAGCTGCTGTGCCCCACGGCCTGTCTGGATCGTCTGCGCGAGAGTCAGGCGCGCAGCTACAAGAAATTCGAGCTGCTCTGGCATCTGGGCCGGGATAAGCAGATGTCGCGTGGATTTGAGAAGACGCTGCTCAAGGTGCTCGACACACTGGCCCTGCCGCACTACATGTCCGAGCGGACGTTCGTGACCAACTGGTTGCAGGCGTCGTTGCTTCGCGGCGATTTGGCACGCCTCACCAAGCCGCTCTACAAGATCTTGCTCTCAGCGAACTCGCGGCGTGTGGGCATTGTCCACATGCAGCAATTGTATCGCGAGTCGGCGGACGTCGAACAGGCTGGGGATGAGGATCAACAGGCGCCAGCGTTTGAGCGCGATGTCTATGCCATTAGCTCCGAGCAGGGCAATGTCAAGTATCATCACATGGAGGCGGCCAGCAGTAGTGGCAGCGCTGCTAACGGCGCCGGCAAGAAGAAGAGCCCCATCAGGCATCTGCCCAAGAAGATCTTCGGCGTCACGTTGAGTGGCAAAACGAATAAAACCTCGAATTTTGTGAGTGATAAAACGCCATTGGCTAGCGAAGCTTTGCAGGACATCAACACAATTGGCCTGATCATAAATCCCTTGGAGAATGCGCACGATTTCGACGATGAAACGGATCTGGAGGAGCCACGCATTGAGCTGGTGCACACAGCGGGCAAAGATGCGCCACAAACGCCGCTGGAACAGAAGCTGGCGAGCGCCATGGACGAGAGCGACACGACGCAGCTGCTGGCACCCGCTGCGGCAGTCGAGCAGGAGCCGTCGTTGCACTTCGAGCAGGATATCACCGACAATTCGGAGAGCAGCGATTTCGAGTCGGACTCCGAGCTGCGCGAGACCAGCATCGAGAAGGAGGACAGCTTGACCATCAGCTCGAGCGGAGCCGGCGGTGGGGGCGACGATGTCAAGCGCTTTGTGGGAGACTGCGAGCGTGTGACTGAAGCGTTGACACAGCACGAGCGGATCAAGAGCCGCAAAGCGTATCGAGTGACGCGAGAGAAGACGCCAGGCGAGTCGAGCCTGAATGAGCCCGAGGAGCCGGCGCCAGTGGACAATGAGCATGCCCTGCCAGCGGATGAATACTTCAGCGAGGCAGCCGTGGGCAAGAAATTGGCCAATGAGCTGCGCAAGCGTAAGAAGCTCTTGACCAGCAGCGAGAAGAAGCGGCTGAGCTGCATCTCCAAAACGTCGACGGACAGCAATCACAGCAATCCGGCCGAGTCCCTAGAAACAGAAGCAACAACAGCAACTGGCGCCAGCGCCGGTGCCGCGCACAGCGATGAGGAGACAGAGCTGGCCAATGAGCCGTCGAGCAACCAGAGCACCATCAATGTGGAGGATAAGCGACGCAATCTCTCCCTGGAGACGAGCAAACTGCAGCCGGATTGGCAGAAGACGCTCGAGAAGGGCAAACAGAATGTGGAAATCTTGCGACAGAATGCAGCGGCAGCGGCAGCAGCAGCAGCAGCTGCAGCTGCGGCAGAGGAGCAGCTGAGCATACGCTCGTCGACGAAGAGCAGCAGCTCCCTGGGCATTGGCACGTCCAGGCAGACGGATGCAGCGCAGCTCTATCACAATCATTTGCTGCTCTACCTGGCCATCTATGATACGCGACAGACGCTCTATGCGCTGCAGACGCTGCGGAACATAATTTGCTGCGACAAGCGCACCTTCCTCTGTCTCTCGATAACGACGTCGTTCAGCAGCGGCAGCCTGAAGCAGCTGCTCATCCGGCATCGGAAGAGCATCTCGGGCAAGGGATTCGCCGGCAGCGTTAGCAATTCGGAGTATGCCCAGGGCTATCGGGGCTGCATGCAGCTGGAGCTGTTGGTCACATTGCTGTTGTTCTATGCGCGTGGATATTTTCAGCGCGAGTCCTTGGATCCGCAACGGCAGCCGCCCACGCTGCAGGATGTGGTGAACAATCGTCGCATTCAGCTGGAGAGCATCGAGCTGCTGGCCCTGATCTGCGCCGAGCTCATCGACATTGTCAAGGGCATGGGCCGTGGCCTGGCCTGCTACATTGCGGATCTGCTGGTGCGCGCCAAGCTGCAGAAGGTGATGCTGCACTGCCTCAATAGCTCCGTCTGCAGCTATGCTAGGCGCGCGGGCAGCAGTTATGCGGATCAGGTGCTCAGCTTCAATGATCCGCAGGACGATCAGCTGCACGCCGATTGCTTCCAGCTGCAGCTGTTGCGTTTGCTTCTGTCCGTTATACGGCTGGAGCATGAGGTGCATCAGCTGCGCCAGGATACGCCCAGCGCTGGCGCTGCTGAGGATGCGAATGCCTCGGGCAATGCCTCGCCCACACGGCTGGCCGAGGGCGCCGCTGCCAATGTCAAGTACTTGCCCAACTGCCTGATCAGCCAGCAGCCGATGTTTCTGGCCGCCGTGCTGGGTGCACTGCAGCAGGAGCGCCTGCGGCACTTGCATCGCAACTGGACGGATCTGGTGACCAGTTCGCTGAACTGCTTCAGCTTCGGTTCGCTGACGAACATCGTGATCAGTGTGGTGCATCAATTGTGCAATAATCTGGATCGTCTGGCCAAGCTGACGCTGCCCCAGCAGCGCCACTTTCCGCCGGACTATGTGCTCTCCCAGCTGGAGGCACTCACCATCCTATGTCACTATTGCCTGCTGGACAATACGCAGCAGACGGCGCTGTCGCATCTCTTCAACCAGGCCTATCCGCAGACGAGCGTGGCCGCCCAATCCTCCAGCACCGGGCAGCTGCTCAACAGCATTGTGCACTCGTTTCTCTCGGCCAGTGAGTCCACATCGACAGCAACGGCTCCGCGTAATCCTCAGCTGCAGGCCGCACGCAACGCTGTGCTCTCGCACCTGCCGCGCATCATGACCAGCGTGGCGGCCATCTGGGACAGCGAACTGGGCCAGCTGCGTCCGGTGCGGCAGCAGCTGTTGGAATTCCTCTCGCCCGTCTCACTGCATCATGGCTGCAATTTCCTAACGGCCATCGCCGTCACCTGGCAGCAACGTGGCAGCACCGGCAGCACCGGCAGCGCCAGCAGCTCCTCCGACATTGCGGAACAGTTCCAGCGCAACTCCACGCTGCAGGCTTGCCCGGCACAGTTGAGCCTGGTCTCGCTGGTCTCCAGCATACGGGTGATGCCCATGGACTCGTTTGTGCAGACCCTGCATCAGGTGGTAAAGTCGCCGCCGCCCATCCACCGCCCGCCCGCCCAGTTGAGCATTGAGGTGAGTGCGCTGGAGCTGTTCTATTTCTACATGAGATCAGCGCCAGCGCCACAGCTGGCCGATGCTTGGGCTTCGTTGCTGGCGCTCATCCGGGACGGTTTGAATCTCACGCCACCGGCGCAATTCGCGCTGCTGATGCTGCTCAATGAGTTTGTGCAGCGCTGTCCCCAGATGCCGTTCTCGGATAAGAAGGAGGTGCGCGAGCTGCACGACGTGACGGCCCGGCTGGTGGAATCGCTGTCTGGTGTGGCGGGCGCCTGCCTGGAGCAGACCACCTGGCTGCGGCGCAATCTGGCCGTCAAGGAGGACACCGATGGCCTGGCCAAGGATAACAGCCTGGGCGGCGGCATTCAGCAATATTCGCTGCAAGCGCAGAGCGTCCTGGCCAGCATCCTGTCGAACCTGCTGGATGTCGCCTACGGCTCGCAGGAGAAGGACAAGGTGGTGACAATTGTGACGACGCTGTTGTACAATATAACGCCGTATCTGAAGAATCATACGGCACGCAATGTGCCCTTCTTCTATGCCTGCTCCGCCCTGCTGGCCAGCCTCAGTGGCTATCAGTATACGCGCAAGGCGTGGCGCAAGGATATGCTGGATCTGCTGCTCGATCCGGCCTTCTTTCAAATGCACATCTCATGCCTGCCCTTCTGGCGCCAGATCATGGACAGCCTGATGACCTACGACAATATCACATTCCGGGAGCTAATGACACGGGTCAGCCTCTCGCAGGCGGGCGGCCTGAGCATCTTTGCGCCCAGGGAGCAGGAGTACGAGCTGCGTGCGATGCTGCTCAAGCGACTCGCCTTCGTCATCTACTGCAGTGAATACGATCAGCATAACAAGTATATGCCGGACATTCAGGGTAGGCCAATGTTGCTAATCTTTCATAAAGTTCCAGTTTTTGATGTTTCTCATTTCTCAGAGCAATTGGCCAACAATTTGCGTTTGGTTCCCCTTGGCCCATCGGTGCAGGCGGCCGTGTTTCTCTGCTTCCGTGTCCTGCTGCTGCGCATGTCCGCCGATCATGTGACCTCGCTGTGGCCCATCATCATTGCCGAAATGGTGCAGGTGTTTCTGCAAATGGAACAGGAACTCAAGGCGGAGAGCGATGAGCGCGGGTATATGGAAAATTTAGAACTCATACTTGGAATACAAATTCATATCGATTGACTTCTTCCCATTGCAGTCAACAAACACGCCTGCTGCCTGGCATTGATGTCTCCTGGTCATCCTCCAACTCGAGTGCCCCAAATGGAATCAACGCCCAGACACCGATGCAGCAGTGGCGCGCGGTGCAGCTGGAGGCTTGCAAGCTGCTCGAGCTGGGTTGTGTGCTGCCGGCGACAAAGCTGCCGCAGTTCCAGATGTATCGCTGGGCCTTTGTGGGCACCGAGTTCGATGTGCACGAGGAGGTCGTCTCACTGCCCGTGCCCAACGGAAGCATCGAGAACTTGGCTGCCTTGCCGAACGCGCTGTATGTGCCGCATGTGCGACGTGTGGCACGGCTGATGGACATGAAGTATACGAGCCACTCGCCGGTGAGTAGCAACAGATTTGCAGATTACGGCATCGAATATCGAAGAACTTATTCTGGTTTGCAGTTGTTGCAGCGTCCACGCAATCGTCATCTGATGCTGAATTTCCAGCAGTTGCAGTCGCTGCTGGAGCTCTATCCGTTCTTCTGTACGCTGGGCGTGAGCTGCACGAATACGTGCAACTATTCGGATACCGAACAGAATGTGTCCAATTGCTTGCAGGAGATTGAGGATCTGTTGGCGCAAGATTTTCTGGAGAAATTGCCGAGTATTACGACGCCCAGATGAAAACTGGTGGCTGGCGGCGGCGGAGCAGGAGGCGGAGGCGGAGGCGTGGGTGCAGCAAGCAGCAGGCAGACGACACAGGCGAACATCCAAACGACAAGCCTAACAAAGTTCGAGCTGGAGCTTAATCTAAGCGGAGCAACGCCCACAATTAATGGTCAGGCGGCGCGCATCTTTGCGGCTGTGCAAGCGAAGCTGAGCAGCCAGAATGCAGAGACGAGCTTCATGCAGAAATCAAACAACAAGACCAACTTTCCATTTTATGTTTAACGAGAAAGATTGAGAGAGAGGAGGAGGAGAACGGCGAAAGTCACGTTACGTTACGAATAGCTAGTTAGATAGATGCAGTCTAGTATATATATTATACAATGTATTAATGTATTGAATATTGTATGTTTATAGCTTGTTGAGTAAGTCCTATGTGAAATGTTTAGCTTTTAGAGTAGTGGCACACACACAAACACACACACACACACCCTGTATATGTATATTTCAACTGTTGATAGCTGATAGCCGAAGTAAACGACAAATTGCAATTCCACACCGAAAATTCTCTTTAATTCCATATCGAAAGACATGTGTTAAATATTCATTTGTTTATTTATAAATACGTTTTGTTTTTCTTGTATAAAATGAAGGCACACGGTAAACTCTTAAATTACAATGAATCTGCCAGCTAATGCAGTTCGAAGAAGTATTAAAATAGAAAAAATTTATGAAAAACGAGTAGAGATTTAACGCGAAATGCAAGAGGTTAAGAGAGATTCAAACGACGACCGTATGCTGGGGATTGCCCTGACGGTTCTTCAGCTGCAGATGATAAGAGTAGACGATGCGGGCGCAGAACAGGCAAATAACTGAAACGAATAGCAAAGGATATATGAACATCAAATGTTGTATATGATTCTACTGTTCACTTACGCATCATCACAATGTAGAAGAGCAGCGCGAGAATGACATTGTTGAAGCCGGACGCCTCGCGATAGCCACCAAAGTGGAAAATTGTGCCCAAGATGGCAAACGGAAAATTGATGGCAATCAGCAGAGCATAGATGAGCCAAATGCCGACCAAGACATGGTTATACTATATAAAGAGACAATAACAATACAAAACTGTTTAATATATAGACAAATAAAGTTGATACTCAATATTTTAATAGATCACCGAACTTTATGAGCTGCCCTCGCATGTAAATATGCATGGCAAAGCCTTGACTGTTAAACGTAGAAAGTTAATTATCATTGGCTAATTAAAAGAATTGTTGTAGAAGGCTACAAATTCCCAGCACGACTATTAGATACCCTGTTTTTTTTGGAGTAATTAAAAGCCAGCAGAATAATACTTAAAACAAAAATCATTAACAAGTGAACTATCGTATACGAATAATCGCAAATATAGTTAAAATGTTAAAAGCGTCATCGAATTAACGTTTACGGTATTTATAAATCCTATTGGAATGTTGACTTTTTTTCCAGATATTCCAATCGTAGAGCTCACAGGGAACAGCTTTCTCATATCGTATACGCCAATTGCATGCACGTTTTTTTCTTCGAATGCATATGATCTAATAGGCTCTACTCCATGCAAGCTGATTCATCACTGTGTAAACTTCAATTTGTTACTGAAGCGATTCAACGTTGGATTTTCATTTGGTAAGTGAATGCATCACAATTTTCATTCTGATCTCATCCAAGTCAAGGTATCAAATAATGGGTACGTACATACATAAATAATATAATTATATGTATGTATGCAGATTAGGTTAATGCAGTCGGAGACTCGAAAGGGTAGACAGCAAATGTTTAATCTCATTTAGCAATGAATCATGTTTTACTTGAGAACAGATGGTATCTACTGTGTGCATATGCCCCGCTACCCTGTTGGGCACAGTTTTATATTTAGAATTTTTGTTTTCTTAAATATAACACTTGTTGCCCGTTTAGAGCATAAGTGTGTGTATGTATATCTCTATTTTGGTGTGTGTGTGTGTTTTTTTTTTTAGAGTGTAAATTTGTAAGAGCAATCTTGACATTTAGATATACGCTTATCAACAAAATAGTAAGACCGGAACCATGCCCACGAAATATATATAAAACATATATGTACTATATATACCATATATACACTGTATATGTATAGAGTGTATAGACTTACCCGCAGACAGCCAATGAGCAGGCAAACATTTGCAATGACCGCAATTGCGAATCCAATAAAAGTCAGAGCTGAAAAAAAAATAAGAATTAATCTCTCTCTGTGTGATCATCATTGTATTTAAAACTTGGCGACAGACTTGCACACAAATTCCAAACTATCTATGTAATTCAAAAACAAAAAGCCAAAAACAACAAAACATAAACTGAATGAAAAAATAAAAAGAATCAACGCTCGCCCTCGTCGTTGAGAACACGTTTCGAAAAGCCTTGTATAGAGAAGTATTAGCTCATTCTTTATATTTACGTATATCTACATATTTATGTACATACATATATACATGCATACATGCATGTATAAATAATTATATGTATCTTTATACGAATGTATGTATACATGCATACATTTCAAAAATGTGGGAACAGCCAAACATAACAATAACCAAAACAGACAAACACATTCACACTCACTCTCACACACTTATAAAAACGAACTCGAAAAACATTTCCAATAAGAATCTCACTTACCACTGGGCGCGAATAGCGTATTTAATGCTATAGAAACTAGCGTATAGATGGCTATGCCCAAACACCAGCTGCGCAGCTCTGTGTCGCATGGTCCACGATCGACGGTTAGCTCGATTTTCATTTTAAAATATTTAACTTTATTGTTATTTGAGCTTCAGCCAAATTCGTAGCGCAACTGATCGTAATTCTCGACTTAAATGCACAACCGAAGCACGCAACAGGCTGAAAACGACTGAATACGCGTTTTTAAATTCTGCTACGCTTCACCACACACACACACACGCTAGCACACACATGCAATTTCATCTCCCCAGTGAGCGTTGTTTACTGCTCCTAAGAGAATTCATTAACAACAGTGACAGAGAAAGAAAGATGAGAGAGTACTATTTAAAAAAAAAATATTCTACTTGTCTGACGAGTGGCGGCTTCACATCTCACACGTATAACACACACTATAACAGTTAGTACAAATTTTAAGATTTCACTGCAGCCACATAAAAGCTTTCACAACAGTCTGGCAATGCTGTGCGCTCTTAGTGAATGCAGCGCTTACTCTAGATCTAACATTACCTACGGAGTCCGTCTGACAGAACTGTTAATAGTCTATAATAATAAATAAATAATAATATGAAAACATTCAAAGTTTTTTCAATAAAATGCTTAGCTATAGTGTTTAAATGTATGAATACAATTTACTAAACTAATTAGTTAAATTGTTTCAATCAAACTACACACGCGATGTAGCCTTTAAGCGAGTTGCGTTGGTCGCTAACGTCAAATACGCAGCATCAATGTTATGTTATGCGACTTTAAACTGTCATCCCTTCACAATTCTGCAAAACAACAGTTAACTTGCAAACGCATTGTCAGTGTGAAATCATTCTCAATTGCGACGTAGACGAAGCGAATACTCAGTTCTAGTTTCAGGTTCGTGTATATAACCACATATATGTGTGTACATACATACATATAAATTTGCATATATAAATATTTGTGCTTTTGTAATTGCAGTATCCATAGAAATTTTGTTTAAATTTGGTGTAAACAAAGAGTGAAAAATGCTGACAAGATTATGCTGCATGCGTCTCAATACCGCCGGCGTGGTGCTCGGCTGGTTGGGTGTCGTTGGCTCCTTATTGGGTGTAATTTTGGTATCCACCATTTTGGGATATGCCGATGTTATTGCTCAAGGAATGGTCGGAAATAAGACAACTGTGCAAAGCTATGATGAAGTCCATTCGGGTAAGCAAAACCAGGAGTGCGAGGGAGATAGAGAGAGCAAAAATGCTTAAGGGAAATCAAACAAGTGTGTTAAAATGCTCATATCTTATCTTTGCAGCGATTGTCATCGGATGCAGCGTTTACTTGGGGATCATTCTGCTGAACTTATTGTCATCGGCCCTGCTAATACTTGGCACCATGAAGGTAAATGAGTGAGAAAGAGTGTGAGAGTGTGAGTGATACGAGCGAGGCGATCGTACAGTAAGCTGCAAACGTCATGCATTCTGTTATGTTACTCTATTTACATTTGCTGCAATTATCGTATGCTCATCTCTTTTACTCTTATGCACAGGAACGTCATCTAATGCTATTGCCATGGCTGATTAATTCTGCCGTTGGACTTTTCCTTAGCATTGTTTCTAATATAATTGTATTGGGCGCCTCAATTTCCGCTGGCACCGATTTCGGACGTGTTCTAGCTGCTATGATACCCACTGCTCTTATACTAGGTGAGTCACACTCGTTGGGTATATTGATGTAAATACAGATGTCAATTATAAGCATACATTCCAACATATAAACATTGCAATTCTTATTACCAGACTTTGGTAGTCTTATCTTACTCACACACACACATGCACATACCCAGGGAAACACCCTTTATATACATATACTTTTTTGTACACATATATACAATTCTTGGAATTTCGTATACATTGCTAATTGCGCATTGGTTTCTCTTTTCCGTTGTAGCTTTGCAAATCTACATTTATATGGGAATCTACTCGTTGTTTAAGCAAATTCAGCAAACACGCGAGCAGCAGCGTCCATTGATGTCTGATACACAGGGCATGGCTGTACCAAATCAGGGTAATACGTATCCCAGCTATACCAAAATTTGAAAGCGAAGCATCAGAGCAAATGCGATCAATTTGGTTCTGTACTGCGACACTTAATACACACATTCAAACACAGATACATAACTACTTCCTTACTTTATCAACTGTTATAACAGAGAAAAAAAGTCCCCATCTATATACATACATATATATATATATATATATATATATATATATATATATATATATATAAACTTACTTGAATATATGTGGAGCCACATGTTGCTCAGAATTTTGTTGTAAATTGAATAAAATATTTTTTGGCGCATTTTTTAATGCTTGCTACAATATAATATATTAATAATAATAATATATATATATTTATATATATATATATATATGTACACACACAGATAAAAGTTTGAAAAGTTTTAGGGGCGGGGCGCGGCGGAAAGAAGAGGATCTCTCGAATCGTTGCAACCTGTTGATGGAGCAGCTTACGGTCATTTGCCCAGACCCAGCCACATGTAGCTGGGATCAATAAACTGCGAACCGCGGTAACCATTGGGATTACGCGACACCAGCGAGCGTATCTTCTGCGATGGTCGATAGCTGCGCAGCTTGGAGCCCTTGCGATCAGACGGCTGCCCGGAATCATAGTCGGCGCCACCCAATGCACCCGCATCGTTATCATCATCATCATCGTCGTCGTCGATTATCATTTGCTGATGCGGATGCACGCCCTCCAGCAGCTGGGACTCCTCCTCGCCGAGCTGATGTTGCGTCTGCTCGGCATAGTGAACGTTCGCCTTCAGCTGCTTAAAGAAATCACCCAGATTTGTCATTACTCCTGGAAGTAAGAGAGAGCGGTTTGGGTGGGAGAAAAAGAGAGATACTTCACTTAGCAACAGGTTGGAGGGGCTACTAAGCGGTCAGCTAATCACCAGCACTGATGGAGGGCTTAAAGCGTGAGCTTGGCTCGCGTTTACGTTCATAGTAGTAGTTGGCCACATCCGGCTGCAGCACGTAATCGTTCAGCTTCATTGTCGGCCGATACGTTCGGAGGCCGCGCTTCAGTTTTGTTCTAGATCGTTTAGCCGGAGATTGCAGCCATGTCCGATGCACCAGGGCGAGCTGCTTCAAGTATCTATCGGGACGCCAATGTCTGTTCTTGTTCAGCGGATACGGCGGGAAATTGAGAGCCGTGTCCACAAATTCGGGCACCATTTCCCTGGCCTCAATATTTGGCAACAGATTTCCGTTGCCATAAAACTTGTTCGCTGGCCAGCTGCTGTCGTCGCTGTCGTCCCTGCCGCTGATGCTGCTGCTGCTCCAGGACGACGCCAACGCTTCCTTTGAGCTGCCATCGATGGCCATCATTTGCATGGGCGATGCTGTGGAACAAGCATATATATATATATATATTGTGTACATATATGTATGTACATCTATTCGTATCCACAGGGATTCATATTTTCTAGTGCCTGCAACGGATGTTCAATTTCCGTTTGGGCTCCTGCAGATTTTAATTGCTGATATGCACAGAACAAAAAAAAGGAAAACAATAAAATTAATTGAGGGTCAATCGCTAAGCTGACAGATAGACATATGTATGTATATACATATGTATGTATCCATGTCATATGCCAACAGACAGACATACACCAGTTGAATCAGAGTTAATCTTGAACGCTTTTCCATTTCTGTTTCGGTTTCATTAAATTGTGTAATTGCTCTTGTTGAGATTGATATTCATGAGCCCTTATAATACAGTTAGATTGATTGAACTATGTACATACATACATACATATGTACATATTTATTGGGCCTGCTAATGCTTGAGTAGAGTAATTGTTGTCATATTTTTATAGACGTAATTGATTGGGGATTAGAGCTGAAGAAGGCATCAGATAAATCAGAATTGAAATATTAAAATGAAATATAAAATGTATTGTTGATATATTATGACAAAAAGCTATATCAGGTATATGTATATATGTATTTCCAAAGAATGCTTAATATATGCCAGTTATATAGTATTATCGTATAGTATTTCCAGCTAAACAGCGAAATCCCACGCTTTGCTTCTAGTTTAAAAACTGTAAAATATAAAGCTATACCATGTCGTCACGCTTCTGGTATATAGTATAATAATCATATAACTTATATTACTGTATGACTGCTTACAAGCTTAAATGCTTACAAGCTCTATTCCTTATCAGTGGTCTACAGTGAGCTCAATTCACAAGCGTACTGAATAAAAATAAAATATAAAAATAAAAAAGTAAAGTAAATAAAAAATTCTATATAAAAATTTCATATTATTGTGTAATTGATTGATAGATTGTCATATGCATGTATAGTATAACTGAACAACTCCCTATATAAAATTCAATCAGATATAACTTGTTTTTAGCTTATATTTTGTTTTGTTTTGGGAATGTTTTTTTTTTTTATACTGTAAATTCCAATTACTTGCACGGTTCATGCTATTAATTTCAACTAAACAATCATCAAAGCGGGGTTTCCCTCAGCTCGCAAGCAAATAGGGCTAATTTCTGGTTATCTGTAGTCTATACTACATATGTATGTATGTATGTATAAGCAAATATACTAATATTTTCATTCATACATACATATATGTATGTAAATATATTCTCAGATAATCATTGATGTTTATACACACACAAAAATTCCTATTCAGAGATGACTATTTGAAATATGGTTATATTTTGCTTGTGTAAATTTTCTGGTTAATCTTAATCGACTGAGATGTGGAATAATAATTGGAGTAATATTTTTAAATACATTATTTTTATTTAAAACACGTAATCTTTCGCTTTAAAAATATGTGTAAAGCTTTTAATCTAAAGGCAAGCAAAATACAATGGCAAATGTTTAGAACAGGCGGGGTTAATAGACTTTGATTTGCAAAACTGTTATATAAAGTCGACTATTATACAAACGTATAACAATGCCGTAATTTAAAACAATTCTAATTCATCGGCGTCTAAGTGCGGTTAACCAATACAAATCCATATGTATACCTACATACATACATAGATGTATTTACATACATACATATGATCATATACTGATTATATTATATATGTATGTACATATGTACATACACTATAGCTTGTTATACAAACATACATATAAATACATACATATACGTTATATGTATTGTCAAATCGAATTCTAAGAGAAAACTGAGGTCAGCTACGTGTGAGTGCGGTTTCATTATGCTTTATCAACTTAATTTGAACTAGGTTGATAGAAATAATATACATACATACATACATTTGTATGTGTTTATATATGCACATACATATATTTTTCAATAATACGCGTGCCTCAGTCTAAGTTTTAGTTAAACGCAATAATTTTCGAGTTAGCTTTGCGTTAAACGGATTCGGCTTTAAATCTGTTTCATATGCAGCAAAGCAAACTAATTTTATACGGTTTTATAGCAAACGTTTCTCAGTGCTAAGTTGCTTCACTTCAATTCAGGCTATTAGTGAAACTTTCGTTCTCATTCTGAATCTCTACAGTCGCATACAGATCTTCAAAGTGTTTCACAGCTCCGGTCAATGGTGATTCATAATAAATATTCTCAATTAACAGGGGAATTCCCCAGTTTCCATTGAGCACTGTGTGACTTTCTTGTTTGTATGAGTGGGTGTTTGTATCGGTATCATATTTTCATTTATAAATAAACATTATTCAAGTTATTTGTCGGCTCAGCAATTTAATAAATTTAATGCTTTTTTATATCTTTGATTATACTGGAAATGTGAGCAAAAAGTTGTACATAATAAGAATAATATTTTATCAAAAGGAATTTTTAATTTGTTTGTTACCCGTTCTTAGTTCATAGTCTCATTTCATATCCACGCTTTCATTTAATTCACATTTTAGTTTATTTTTTCACACCGTTCAACTGCACTTTTTAAAAATATGATTATCAACTTTTGCTCATTAAGTTAGTTAAAGTTGAAATTAAACTCAAATTATGGTCGGAAAGGGCTAAAAAAAATAAAATAAAATAAATATAATAAACCAAGGTAATAATAATAAAGAAATACATAAATAAAAAAATACTTCTCTGACATCAGTTTTAAAATATTAAAAACTTAAAATATTAAATAAAATAAATAAAATTAAAAAAAAAAAAAATAAATAATAATTATTATACATATATAAAATTTCGTGTGCGTCTTACCCGTCATCAGCAGCAGGAACAGCGATATGCATTGCCTTTGATTGAAGCATTGAAGCAACATAATTTATAAATTTATTTTTAGTGAATTTAAAAGAAACTCTATAATTAGAGTTTAGACATTTTGTCTAGGATGACTTTAGCTTTTGCCTCGGCTAAAGACTTGTTGAGCACATTATTTATTAGTTAGCAAAATAGTGGCGTTGAGTTACAAGGAGACGGAGCCGAAGCCGGAGCCGGAGCAGGAGCAGGAGCAGCAGAGCACAAGATCGGATTCCACAAAACGAGGCAACTGTCAACGGTCGACTGATGGCAGAGTCGGATGCTTGAAGGGTTTTTATAGCCGACAGGCGACGGGCACCTGTTGTCCCTGCTGCCTCGGCTCGCCAGGTGGCAGGAGGAGAGAGGCAGAGGCAGAGGCAGAGGCAACTTCAACGGTTTTGGGGCATGCGCAAAAACTATTATTATTAGCTGCTTATTTGAAACGCAACTCGACTCGCCTCGACTCAACTCGACTCGACTCGCTTTAGATATTGTCTAATATGCATGGCAATGGAGCAATTGGCCAATCCGCCTGTGGGTGGCATGGCGGACATCTGTGTGTGGCCATTTACCCGTTGAGCAGCACTTCGGCTTTAAGCGGCAATAAGGCTCAGGTGTGCCAAAAGGTATACAAGTGCAATTATCATACCCTATTGCGCAATGCGATATTCAGTTATTCAGATTTTCTACACACTCTGTTGCCCCTGGCGGCCGGGAGCCGGGAGCCTGACGTCAAAGGATTCATTCTGCTTTGCGTATAAAAAATAAAGAAACTAACTAAATTGAAAAAATTGTTTAGGATTTGCATAATTGTGTCAGTGGCTAGCGGTTTTTCTACCTTTTTGTTCTGTTGCTTTGAGTTCAGCTGCCATCTAGACCTTGATGCTTGATGTTGCTCCTGTTGCTACTCC